AGATGATTTTACAATATTCATATCCTCTATGTCACACAGTTAATGAAACGTTTAGCTGGTTAATATCATAATTATTTATTAGGTCAAGGTCAGCTGGCGATCTTCAAGGAGAAATGTTTATTGTTCATATTTCAAAGGTACTTTTCCATGTCTTAAGTACAATTAATTTCTTTCGATATTGTATAATAACTTTTGTTGTAATTTCTTGTATTCATATTTATTTTCCTTTTTTTACTCCCCCTTTTTCTCTCCTTATCTTTATCATTTAATTTATTTATTTATCTTCCTCTCATTTTTTCTCTTTCTCTTTCTTCTTCTTCTTCCTTCTTTGGTTTTATTTCTATATTTCCTGTTTTCTTCTTCTTCGTCTTCTTCTGCTTCTGCTCCGCTCTCTCTTTTTCTTCTTCCTCTGATTACCTTTATCTCTTTTCATCTTCTTTTTTATCTTCTCTCCTTTCTTCTTCTTTTTCTTCGTCTTCGCTGTATCATTTTCCTGTTTCTTCTTTATCATAATTAACATCTTACTTTTTAAAAATCTTTATCCCAGCTTTTCTGCATATTTTTCTTTCATATTTTCTGCATAGTTTCATATCCTTTGTATATTTTTGACGAAATTACTTGTACTTAAGAACGGGAATAATGAAGAAACAGTGGAAAGGGATAAGCGAATAATAAGCGAATTTACAATAGACAAAGAAAATGAAGAAACAAGGGATTGAGCTAAATAACAAAACAGATGTTCACCCATTCAGAAGAAACTATACTGAGAGAAAAAAAAAATCTAAAAAAACGGATGTTAAACTTTAAAAAGGACGGATTTAAACTCATTCTAAAGAAAAACGATACGGAATTTAAAATATTCTGAAAAAACGGAACTTTAAGCTGTTCTAAGAAAAAAAAGTATTTAAAGAAAAAATGAGTTATTTTAAACTATTCAGATAGAAGCTATCAATTTTAACCCATTCAAAACTATTCTAAGGGAACAAAATACGGATCTTCAACTATACAAAAGGAAATAACTACGGATTATAAACTATTCTGGAAAAAATGGATTCTAAACAATTTTGAAGAAAAGTTTGCGGATTCTAAACCATTCTTAATAAAAAGCTGCACATTTTAAGTGATTGCGAGAGCTTCTGGTTTGGGAGCAGCAGGGAACAGCGGCGGAAGCAAGCTACTGCAGCAGGAATTATGATATCATAATTATGATAATGATAAGAAAAATAATGTTAATTATTTCAATCATAATCATAATAATGATACTGACAATAAATTAAATAAAAAAAACATGCAGAACGCGAGGCGAGGGAAATGCACAGAATCTACAATATCTAAAGAAATGTAAAATTAAACAAAAATCCCGAGAAGTGATAAAATAAAGGAAATTCAAGCGTCCAGAAAAGACGACCCGCGTGGCCTATAACCTGGAACGCGACGTGAGGAATGGCTCTGACCTTTCCCGGGCAGTTGGCAGAGTGCGGTGACCTTGATCAAGCCACTAGCTGTCTGGAAAGAATGTTATTACCATCTGTACCAGTTGTTACTGTTCAGTTGACCTCCCGTGGGAGTTGCTGCCTTGCCTAGGAAGTGCTTGGCATGCGCTGGAAGGTCAGCTGGGGCGAGTAAGGTCAGTCTGAGTGAATAAGGTCGGTTGGTGGTCACGTGTTTCGCAGCACTTGGGTTTTCTCATTCGTTCTGTCTGTGATTTGTATCTGATTATTTTTTTCTTCTTTTTTCTTCTCTTTTCTATTTTTTAACACTCGTTTCGTTTTTAAATCTGTCTGTCTGTCTGTTTTTCGCTCTGTTCTTCTCTGCCGGTCTATCAGTCTCTCTCTCTCTCTCTCTCTCTCTCTCTCTCTCTCTCTATCTATCTATCTATCTATCTATTTATCTCTATCTCTATCTCTCTCCCACTCCCTCTCCCTCCTCCCCGCTGCTACAAATGACAAACCAATAAAAAGCAAAATCCCAAATTCACCAACATTCATCAGAGAGAGAGGAGAGATCAGCGGGCAGTTCTGTTTGGCAACACCCGTCCGTTTAGATAACGACAGCCAGCGCACGCAAAAACAAAACATGTTTCAGTCACCCCCTTCACAACGGTCAGCTGATCGCGTAAATAATTAACGCGAAGGACTCACGGACGAATTCAAAACACGAATAACCAGATCATTTGATAATTCAAGATAAAAAAAAAATAAAAATAAAAAAGAGAAAACCCACGAATAAAAGCAATATCATAGCAACAGCGAAAAAAGGGGAAACGAGAAGAATAAAAGGCAGCCACCGGAGCAGGACTGCACATAAGGCATCAAAGCGGAACTTTCCCTTTCACTCGCCGCCCATCTTGGGAGATCGCTTGGTCGAGAAGGCGGGGAAAATCTACTCTAATATTACTCGTTGCTGATGCCTCTGTTGTTGTTAACGTTTGGTGATTTTTGTTGTTGTCATTGTTATTACTCGTATTATTATTTTTCGCGTTGTTTATATTCTTATCCGTTTTGTGTTTATCATTACTATTATTTATTATCATCATCATCATCATCATCATCATCGTCATTATCATCATCATCATCATCATCATCATCATTATCATCATCATCGATATTATTGTTGTTGTTGTTGTTGTTGTTGTTGTTGTTGTTGTTGTTGTTGTTGTTGTTGTTGTTGTTGTTGTTGTTGTTATTATTATTATTATTATTGTTTTATTATTATTATTATTATTATTATTATTATTATTGCTATTATTATTATAATGATAATAATATAACTGTCAATGTAATTATGATAACAATGATACTGACAATGATAATACTGATAATAATGATAATAATAATAATGATAATAATAGTAATAACAATAATTCTGATAATGATCAGAATAGATTTTTAAAATAATGATAATCATGATAACAATAATAATGAAAATGCAATTATATTGATAATATTAATAGCAATGACAATAACGCTGGTGATAACAATTATAATGACAGCGAGAATAATAATGATGATGATTATAATATCAATAATGATAAAGATAATAATAATAATAATAATAATAATAATAATAATAATAATAACAATAATAATGATAAAAATAACAACAGCAATGATAAAGTAAGAGCAATGATAATAATAATGGTGATGATAATATTAACAATGATAATGAGAACAATAATGACAATGGTCACGTTAATAATAATAATAATACAATAATGATGACGACGATGATAAAAATGAAAATGATAATGATAACAATAATGACAATAAGGTCTGGCACCCTGCTGACTCGCGTTCGATTCCCGCACCGCCAGTAGATGGCAACGCCTGCCATTCCTTGCACACAGGGGGTAATTGAGAAGCAAAATGAAACATCCTGTCGCACCAAATATAATCACTGTGACTAAATTATTATTATCATTATCATTATTATTATTATAATTATAATAATAACAATTATTAATATTATCATTATTAATGTTATTGTCATCGCTATTATCATATCATCATTGTCATCAATATGAGCATCACTATCATTATCATGAGCATTGATATTATCATCATCATCATTCTCGTCATTACTAATAGTCATAATAATGATAATTATGACCTCATTAATAATGGTAATAGCCGTTAACGTTAATACAAAAATGGATCAGAAATCCTTTCCACTATTTTCAAACATTTTTTTTTTTACTTATTTCTTTTGGCACCGTGATAGCATTTAATCATTATCATCATTGATTATTACAATTATTAACTTCGAATCACCTTTTAGACGAATTCGCACGAATTTCCTGATTTTATTCTCTCGGTTTTTACCTTTGCTTTTAATAGTTCCTACTTCACTTTGAAATGAAAAAAAAGAAAAAGATAAACACAAAGAAACACCGACGAAGGAAGAAGAGTAAAGAAAAGAAAAACTTTTAAAACATACGACTTGAATGTTTTTATTTTGTTGAAATTATCGATTTTTTTTTTCTCTTTTTTAAAACTTCTTTTGTTATGACGGAGTGTCCTTCGTCAGCGTTCTTCTCCGCAGTCTTATCTTCCTCCTTTTCTTCCTTCTTCTCTCTTTCTCCTGCCTCTTCTTTCCTCCTTTTCTTTTTTCCATTGTTCTTCTTCCTCTTCTCTCCTCTTCTTCTTCTTCATCGTCATCCTGTCTTCTACTGTACTTCCCCTTCTGTCATCCTTAGTTTCTTCTTCTTCTCTTCTTCTTCTTCATCGTCTTCCTCACTTCTACTATTCTTCCTCTTCTTTCCTCTTCTGTTTACTCTTCTCCCCCCTTCTTTTCTTCCTCTTATCTACTCTTCCTCTTCCTTATCGTCTTTCTCCCTCTCATCTTCATCGTCTTCTTCGATTTCCCAAAGCACTATAGCACACTTGATACTCTCTCTTTTTTTTTTATCCGGCACGATTGATAAAATTCCGGCACGAATACGCACACAACACCGGCAGAAACACACACATATATTAAACAATAAAACCCAATGTGTACAACAATTCAAGAAATAGTGACCGGGTCGACCTCTTCTCTGTCTCCTCGGGTCCCTCCCCCAACCCTCCCTCCTGCTGTCTACCGGCCAATTGGGTCTCGTTCCCTCTCTCTTTCTCTTTTTTTTATCTGTCTTTTTGTATCTCCTACCCTTTATCTAACTGTCTGTTTGTCTATTCGTGTTTGTTTTCCTATCTCCCTTTATCCATTCTTCGTTCCCTTCCTTTCGCTCGTTCTCTTTTCTTTCTGTATATTCGTCGCTCATGAGTCACATCATCAATCTTTCATTCCATCTCTGTCTATTTCTCTCTCTTTTCATCTATCTCTCTGTCTATTTGTCTTTCTCTTTAAACCCTTCTCTCTGTTTCCGTCCCTTTGTCTCTCTCTTTCCTTCCCTCTCTCTGTCAATTTGTCTCTCCCTTTCCTTCTCTGCGTCTCTCTCTCCAGCCGCCAAACCATCCACACTCACCAGCACAAATATCCACGCTGCACTTCCCATCTCTGCG